TGAGGTGTGGAATGGAGTGAAGTCCAATCAGCTTCCATATGCAAAAGACCTTGAAACACTGGGCGGGACTGCACAAAGCAGCCAGTCAACCCAGCCAGCGTCTTCTGACTGACAGTTCAAGCGTCCATACACTAAAGGTGTGCATTTTGGAACGTTGGAGCCCACTATGGCTTTATATATAAGGGAGAGATAATTTGCTTAGAGAAAACTGGTATCGTTTATAGATACGCATTTGCAAGAAACACCACATCTATTATAATCTGCATCCATAAGAAGCATCTTTGAACCCCCACAAAAGGAGTCACTAGATTTGAATTTCAATATATCTTCTTCTATAGTATCTAGCAAACAGCATTTTCTATAACAATTTAGTGCAAACATTTGTACAATGTATTATTGTACCTTTTTACATAGACATGTAAGTACAATGCATCTTCTCAAGATGAAATAAGAACAAAATTTAAAGACTACAATTCCTTGAATATCAAAAATTCAACATGCTACAATGCTCATGTAAATTAAAACACAATTCACTTTAGGAAAAGAGGTTCCCTTCATCTAACATAATGATCTGGCAACAGTGATCCACACTATGGTCACCTCGAGGTTGGACTATAATGCTCTCTACATGGGGCTGCCCTTGGCGCAACTCCGGAAGCTGCAGCTAGTGCAGAATGCGGTGGCCAGGCTGTTGATGGGTCTCCCTATGTGGGAGCACATCCAGCCTGTGCTAAAGTCATTGCACTGGCTGCCAATAGCATACCGGATTCGCTTCAAGGTGCTGGTTTTGACCTTTAAAGCCCTTTATGGTCAGGGTCTTACCTACCTGAGGGACCGCCTTTCCCCATATGTTCCCCAGAGAGCACTACGGTTGGGGTCGCGAACCTGCTTGGCCCCCCCTGGCCCGAAGGATGCCAGATTGGTATCAACTAGGACCAGGGCGTTCTCTGTAGCAGCTCCAACTTATTGGAATGAGCTTCCGGAAGAGATCAGGGCCCTGCGGGACCTCTTACAGTTCTGCAGGGCCGCAAAAATGGAGCTTTTCCATCAGGCATTCAGGTAAGGAGCTGCACGTTACCATCTATGCCCGGTGCCGAATTTACTGCCAGCCTGACCCCGCCATGAGCGGAGATACTGCCGATTGTATGTTTCTGAATGCACTTTACCATAGCTATATCGCCAGTGATGTTAATGCTTTAATAATTTTATCTTGTATTTTATATTGATATTCATATTATTGTCTTTTATTGTTTCCTATGTAAGCTGCCCTGAGCCTGCCTCGGCGGGGAGGACGATGTAAAAACATAATAAATAAATAAAAAGCCACAGGGTGATTCTACAGAACTGCTTTTGCTACGGCAGCACAATCAGTGACATGCTATAGCTTGGCAAACAGGGCAAAGTTACCCATCTCTATCCCAGTTATCTGCAAGCCTGCACTGGTGTCAGCAGCTCTGACAGAACATGAAGATCTCTGGATTACCACACAAGGAGGCCAGACCCAATGCCCCTCTTCTTCCTTGGCTGTACGTGCATCACTGAATAGCAGTTTGAAATAGTACACCATTAAATTTATGTTCAATTTGCCATTTCAGGGCTCAGATTTTTTGAATAGGTTTTATACCCACCATTTCTCAATTTGTTACTGCTGGGCGGGGGACACTGCCTCATCTATTGCCATGAACAAAATGCTTCCAAACGTGGATGCGGCTTTTCTGCTCTGAGATTCATATGCCACTGATACCCCACTCGCTCCAACACCATGCATACTCTCACCCCCTCGTGAACAGTTGTGTACCCTTTCATGAAGGATTTTTTTTTTAATTGCCAAAGGTAGAGGGCAGTTTACTTTGCAAGAAGTGAAAACATCTGCAAAAGGCATCTATCACTACTCAGCAGGCCCGTAGCTACTGCGGGGCCCATGGGGCCTGGTCCCCTAGCGGTTTTTATGGGGCCCTCCCTGAGCCATGGCTCCTCTCCCCGGGCCACCTCACCTGGATTGCGTGTCGGCAGGGAGGACGAGGGCAGCACAAGCAGTGGCAGCGGCAAGGCTAGGCTGAGAAAGTGGCCCGGGGCAGGCAGCGAGCATGAACAGTGCAGGCAGAAGCCCCCATCTCAGGCTTCCACCAGACGCTCACTACCCCACCCGCCAGCAGCAGGTAAGCCCAGCCAGGCAAGGCAAGGAGGCAGGCAGCTGCCTCCTCTGGCCCCAGCTAGGCGTGTCAATGAGCCTGCACAACACCTTTGTGGCCAGCCTGGCCACTGCGCGCCTCACCTCTCCTGGCCCCTGGAGGGAGCTGAGGGTGGAAGTCAGGCCGGTGCCATGCCACGAGAAGAGGAACTGGGGCTCCTCAGGGAGGGAGGGAGGGAAGCTGTAGCTACTGGGCATTACCCCTTCCTTGCCTTGGAGCCTGGGGCGGTGCAGGGATGCCTCAGGAGTTCTAAGGAGTCCCACCAATTAGATGGGACTGCTGACTGCTACTTCTTTCCCATGTAGAATTTTGAACAAGCCCAAAAGATTCTTTGCCACCAGTTTGCTTTTGTCAAAACTGAAAGAAGAGTGAAGACTGCCAACCAAATTGACTATTTTATCTTCATTATCTTTCCAGAAGCTCAAGCCCAAAATGACTCAGTGCGGAGCAAATCCCCATTACAGAAAGTCCTAAGTACAAAACAAGACGACCTGCACTTTGCTCACCTATTCAATTGCACCGTTCCTTCAGAATTTTGTGAAGCTTTTTGTTTGACCACATCTAGTTTATACCTATAGAACAAAAACAGTAATGGCAGTTTCATAAGGAATACAACATGACTTGATTTAACGGCAAGAATTAATACACATACATTACTCCACTGCCTTTTGTATATTCATGAATGCCTTTTACTTGCTGCCATCCCTAATAGACTGAAATGGAGATTCATTTTCTCTTGCCTCTGCCCACTTTAGTTATTCTCAAAGAACAATCAACGGAGCATCCTTCCTGGCTCTGAATAACAGCAGTTGAGGTCTCCATCCTGTTTCATCACAACAATTCACAAGCTACAGAGACTGGGAAGCAGTAAAAGGATTTTACTCTAATACAGCTATATCCCACTAGGATAGATGCCTAAAGAATGTTCTCAGACAGTACATCCCCATGTCAGCTCTTTGCAGTAGACTGGACTAGGTCATCTAGTGCACAGGACATCATACAGATATCAGCTCTCACATGGATGTAGTAAAATACAGTTCAAGGTTTCTTTAACTGTTCCAGTAACACGCTCTAGTGCCATCTGCTGGCAAGAGTGATGAAAAGCTTGAAGTCTGCAGACCAGAAAGGAAAAACCAATGTAACTCTGTATAGATTTTTAAATTCCTGTAAATTATATATAACCATGTATGTGCTGAATTATAACGGATCCCAGAAAATCAGATGACTGATACTTCTGCAGAAGACCTATGTTAATACTCACTGGTTGTGCTGAAATATTTTAAGTGCCACTTTTATATCAACATCGAGGACTTCAAATGGCAGGTCTTTGTGAATAAGTTTGTGAACTTCTTTTGTAAAAGAATGAAGATTCTCCTTGAAATTAAAACAACAACAACAACAGATAAATGAAACAAGCAAGAAATGCATAATTCTAATAATGCAGATAACTTAAATTCAGGGCCTGCATGAGCCAATTGTAGCATCTGCTCGGCTTTCTATGATTAAGCTGGATAGGCTAAAACAAGGAAACAGATTAACAAATGTGACAAATTTGCGGTTAATTTTTAATCTGTTTTTGTCCTGGGTAAAGGGTGTTACGGAGCTGCGGTGGTTCAAGTGGTTAAGACACTGAACTGCAGGCTGTGGAAGGTCGGTAGTTCAGCAGTTCGAGACCCGAGTGTGCCGCATGACGGAGTGAGCTCCCGTCTCTAGTTCCAGCTCCTGCCAACCTAGCAGTTCGAAAGCAAGAAATTGCAAGTAGATAAATAGGTACCACTTCAGTGGGAAGGTAACAGCATTCTGTGCGCTTTGGTGTTTAGTCATGCCGGTCACATGACCACGGAAATGTCTTTGGACAGCGCTGGCTCTTCGGCTTTGAAACGGAGATTAGCACCGCAATCCTAGAGTTCGATTTGACTGGCTTTCGAGCAAGGGAACCTTTACCTTTTTAAAGGGTGTTACAGTATCTCATACGATGGAAAATAATTTAGGCCGCTGCTTCACTTGCAAGCAAGAGGAATGGTTACTCCAAAATCAACCTGGAGCCACATTAATGGATACGGGTTGGTTAAAAGACCACCCTATGTTCTAGTGTTCACTCTGAGGGGACTTGAGAAAGTTCTTTTCGCTCTCTAAGATTCACATTCAGGCAATCCTTGTAAAAGCTCTTCACCAAAATGATTAACAAGTCTCTTGGAAGGGAGGTGGGAGTAACGGTGTGCAAGGAGGAGAAGGCGTGCACAAGCACTTTATATCTGAACCATGGCAGCTATAAAACAGATCTTTTAAAAAGTGACAAGATTTCAAAAGCAGGATCTGTTGAGTTGAATATAAAGTGGTAGCTCTTCATACAACATAAATTTGGAAGGGATTCAATTTGACAACCACAACACAATTATTTTAAAATTGTGTCCAGACGGAATGCTTCTGTTAATGGAAAACGGCTACCGTAAGTGAAAGATTTCTTTAAAAATGCTTTTATTACCAATAACAGCAATACTAAAGCAGCAACACGACAAGCTTTCATTATAATCTGCTATGCATATCAGTAGATCAAATAGTTCAAGAGGTCTTGCTTCAGATTATTTGAGTATTTGATACATTTCACATTTATGGCATTATAGCACCAAATCTGCACAGTTTCCCTGTAAATAATATATACTTACTCCAGTGTTAGGCCCCATGACTTAAAATGCTTGAATAAAACCAAAGGCCCCAATTTGCTCAATTATAGGTATATTTGGCAATGATCTGCCCAAAGCCAGGACTAAAATAATTCCAGATCCCTTGGAGAGTTTTTGCAGGACTATATAGTGCAGGTTGTTCTTTACAACATAGCAGAAACAATTTTTACCAAATTAGATCTATATCTAGATGAAAACATCCGTCACATTTTGCAATGCTGACCAGCTGGCTCTCCCCAAACAAAGGACGCATTGAAATCTGTCCAGAGACTCATTACTATGCTTACCTTTGTTGGCTTCCAATCATTCAGCCTGTTGTCCAAAATTACATCATAGCAGAAAGCACCAGATAGCACTATCAGATTGGAACCAACATTCAAAAGAAAATGAATCAAGTAAGTGTAAACAGCATTTTAAAATCTGATCATTAGACTTTATCAAAAGTCAACACAAGACCGTTGCTGAAATGTTGCAAGAATCACTCAATGAAACCCAGATAACAACGTTTGAGTGTAAGACTAACAACGTTTTATTCAAAGTGAAAGCTTTGTGTGCAAAGCACACTTCTTCAGACAAACAGAATAAAATCTCCTCAAGGGTTACTTACAGGAAAAAAGAGGGTAGGGAGGGACCACTCAGAGCCAAGATGCATATGCAGAGCTGAAATTGGATCAGGTGGCCCATAGCAGCAAATTAGCACGTAAATGCAAGCGATAACAAAAAGATGTGAGAATGAAGCTAGAGTCCAGCAGTATCACCACCTCCCTATAGATGGAAAGCCTGAACACCAGGTCGTGACGTCATCAAAGGTAGTCATAACAGTCCCTGAACTCTGCAGTTGCCAGCTACTGTCACAAGTTTCTCGTGTACTCAACAAGATATTCTCTTGATTCTTTCACTGCAGTATTCCAGATTCTTCACACTAGCTTACAGTGTTACTGCGTTCAGTTTCCCTTGCATATTTGAGTGTATGTTTCGTATAATTTACAAGCATATAATAGGGGAAAGTGGTGGATGTATGATGGTATTGTCAAATAATACTAAGAGTTTAATAACTTCTGCATATGCATCTTGGCTCTGAGTGGCCCCTCCTAACTACCGTCTTTTTTCCTGTAAGTAACCGTTGAGATTTTATTTCATCTGTCTGAAGAAGTGTGCTTTGCACACAAAAGTTTACACTTTGAATAAAACGTTGTTGGTCTTAAAGGTGCCACTGGACCCAAACTTTGTTCTGCCGCTCAGACTAATATGACTAGCCACCTGAATTCTGAAACCCAGTTAGTAGGTTTAAATGTAACAGATTTTAAAAATGGTGAGGCTTAATTACCAATTATTTAAAAAATTCAAAATATCAAGAAGTAAATACATATTAGACTACCTAATAATACTTGCATAAGCAGAAATTGTATCACATTGTGCTTTAAGCACAGCTCAATGGATTAGAGAGCTAACCACATAAATTAAGCATTTAAAAAATCAGCCTGCCTGCCCTTAACATATTTCTGATTTTGCAAAGGAAAAAAAGCTTTGACATATGGAATGTAAGATAGCTCCCACAAGTACCTGCTATGCTTAGCAAATCACTTACAAATATTTTTATTTAACTTATTAAGAACTATTGCAATTGGAGAAAGAGTCCAGTTTACAATGGTGAAAAATAATTTCAGAACATAAAATGAGAAACAGTGCTAATGAGGATTAGAGCTGACCAGTTCCTGGGTGGGGAACAGCCTGGAAACTCCATGTACACCACTTAAATTCCATGGAAGAAATAACTATCAACGGACACTGGCTGTATATCACTTTTGGATCCAACTGGAAAAAGAAGTCACTGTTGTA